TATTTCAAGTTTAGGACCAAGATAGTTACCTCGACAGGAAAATGCATGTCTGTATACAAAATGGATGTAGGTATAGCACAGATCGAACAGAAAGATGAAAGGTTTTTCATTCATTCAGAAGCAAAACAAACAGTGGTGCAATAGTAGGGGACTCAGCCCGGTTACAAATTTTTGTCCAACAAAAAGAGAAATACACAATCAAGCAAAGAGATCATCCAAATCAGTATCCAACTCAACTCTGAGTCCGGTCTTAGCAGGAAGATCGGTTGTGGCAAGAACCTCTTGGTTGGGCTCAGTTGAAACAAGCTCCCCTTGGTTTGGCTCGGTTAGAGGCACCACAATAGTTGAAACGGGTGCTGGGGGGTTGGAAACCACTGGAATTGGAGAGATAGATCGACGACCGGGCTAGGAGTTGTCCTCAAAAACAGAGTCTTCATCATTACCTTCCTCAAGAAATTTCTTCTGAAGGGCAGCAGCATACTCCGCCATGGAGCCCGGTATATAATATGCAGGAGGATTGAAGACCTCGATCTCCCGACCATGACCAAGCTGTGACATTGCCGCCCTCCATCCGCACTTGAAGAACAGATCTTTGGCGGCTTCGCATTGTTGAGTGTAAGTTGCCTCTCCCTCCTTGAAGCCCCGGAGTTCGGCATCATTCACATTCTCCTTTAGCCTAGTGATCTCATCATCCTTCTTCTTCTCGAGCTTTGCAAGCTGGCGCAGGTACTTGTCTTTCAGCTCGGCCGCAGCCTTCTGTTTTTCTGCTTCGGCTGAATTAACTAGACCGGTTAGCCTGGTTACTTCGGCCTCTAACTCGGTCATCTGCCGCTTGGACTCTTTTAGCTTGGCCATTTTTGCTTTGACCTCTGCCAAGGCCTCCTTAGTGGTCCTACAAAGTTCCAACACACGCTTGTGTGCGACATGATTCTTTTGCAGGGCCTACAAAAGGAGTGGTACAGTCTTCAGATAAACCGAACTGAAAGATATTGAAATTTTGGGTTAGGAAACAGAACTTACCAAAATCATGGATTTTGTAGCCGAACGAATGGCACGCAGCTCGATGAGGCCGTCATGGTGCGCCATATCGGTTGGAAGGCAGACACTTTTGGACAGGTTGAATGCCATTAAGTGGTCCTCTTCAGAAACCACCGAATCAGTGTCCTCAATGGCTCGGTTCTGGAAAGTGAGCTTTGGAACCCACTTGGAAGAACTAGCCCGGTCAGAACGCTCCGGCTGTGGACTTGGTGGAGGGCTTGAGACAGTGGTTTGAGGAACCAAGGTTTCTTCTTTGTCAATAAGTCGTTGCTTGGTTACAGTAGTCCGAGCACGTTTGCTTGGGTGAGATGAGGAGGGTTGTTGAGATGGAAAGGCCACCACGGTTTCCTGAGTCTGGTTGGGTGGTGGTACCTCAACTTGGTGTGTCTCGGTTAGCAGGGCCCTTACTCTATTCCTCTTGGCCATCTCTTGTTCAGCAGTAGTACGGACCATGTTAATTTGTGGTAAGGTTGGATCCGGTTCAGGAGATGCCTCCAGCAAGAAGTCTGTTACTCTGGCTTTTCGTTGATTGTTGTATCTGTACGTCGGTTCAAAATTCAGTAGCTTGGCCCAACTTCTTTCAGTATATCGTAGTGCGGCGCGAAGTGTGTTTAGATTGGGGTAGCTTTAGAGTGACTTGAGGTGGGCTGAATCTGCATAAAGAAGACAACTGTCAGTTCGGTTCAGGAACAAAAAACCGAAATAAGGGGAGGCATACAAAGAAGCCGAGGTAATTATACGGGGGGTTTCTTTCTTCCAGTTTATACTACGGCCTGGAATCTGGGCTTGGTGGTCTTCAAAATTCCCAGATACCCAGAAAAAATCATCATCTTCAAGTCTTTATCCGGTGTGTCCTTTATTATTTTCTCTCAACGGCGGCATATTCTTAGATAATAGACCCAGCCATCTTCTTTTGATCCTATGGAATATTGATGGAAGAGTTCGGCTAAGCCGAGGTTAATGCCAGCTCGGCGGTTTAGTTCGGTTATACCAGTAATTATGCGGTATGAATTTGTGGAAAGTTGGGTAGGGCATATTCTAGTTTGCCTAAGGAATTCACAAAGTAAAGGCTGTACAGGGAAACGTAAACTGCACTCCACAATGGAAATAATGTTAAAGGGGACAAAACCTTGTTTTCCCCAGGGGACAGTGTCTGGCTCGGCTAAAGAAAGGTGGACATCATCTGGGATTTGGTAGTCCTTGCGAAATTCAGCTATTGCACCAGGAGAGTTAACTAAAAACCTATACTTTCCCATTTATGGTCTAAGTTATGAATAAATTATACTTGAATGTTAGCTCGGTCGAAGGATGATGCCGAGTAGCTCAGTTGAGCGCTCAAAGGAGTACTTGGGCAACCTAAGTCTGCAAAGTGAAGAACAAAGGTGTTAAGCACAGATCATTGGACCGTGCTAAAAGAAACACAAGCAAGTTAAATGAAGTCCTAGCTCAGCTGTGAGAATTGCTTCGTGTCTTAGCTCGGTTTAAGGAAGGGGTCTGTTAGCTCGGTGTGATCAAGGGTTTTGTTAGCTCGGTTGAGCCTATAGGGGCAGCATTCTTAGTACGGTCTGAACTAAGAAAGCTGGTTTAGCCCCAAGTTGTAGCTCAGTCGTGGTTGAGACTTTTAAGCACACTTGCGCAGACTTAGTACAGTTTGTTAGCCTGGCTAAGTTAAAACAAAAGATGGTTTGACTTGTTGAAACTACGGGTATATGAAATGTTAGTTCGGATGGATAGTCTGGCTAGATTGACAGCAACTACAAACAACTTTTTAGTTCGGTTATATTGTGATTTTGGATCAAAACTAGCGTTTCTCATCTTATTTCTTGAATCCAAGCGATTCTATTACTAAGTTTTTGTAGAAAACACAAAGTCAAGCAGAAAATGGAAACAGACATAGTGTGTTTTGGAAAGCATGCGAATACTTAGGAATGTATTGCAAAAAGGTACGAAATCAACAAAAAGGAATTATAAGGTTGAGTTACTTACCAGGTTAAGGCAGAAAAATTGAAAGATGGAAGCAACGACAGTGAAGAACACGAACTCAGCGAGCTCAGGGGTTGAAGGAATAGAGGCACTGAGAGAGAATGAAGGAGATGAATAGCGCAGTGGTAGATTCGAAATGAAAAGTTTGTTTTGTGTAGAAGGAAAGACAAAAAAAGCGGGACTGTTCAAATTTCGCGAGATACGAAGACGGCGTGACAGCTACCTTCAACCAATGAGAGCATGCCACGTGTCCTTGGAATGAGAAGCGATTCAGTTGTTGTGATTGAAGATACGTTTTGACCGGACAGGTAGAGCCGGCGTAAATTTAGCTCGGTTAGAAAAGCTAAAAGAGTTTTTTAGCTCGGTCGGAAAGGCTAAAGAGTTTTTTAGCTCGGCTGGTAGACAAGGTAATCCCTATCATGATGCGCGGATGGAATTAAGGGGCAATTGAGAGGGTAATTTATATGAAAGTTGGGCCGAGCTAGGTAATGGGTCGTTATGGGCCACAGTACGAAGGGCCGAGTAAAAAGGCCATAAAGTTATTCCGGTCCAAAGGAGGCATAAAGTTATTCCGATGGAAAGGAGGCCTAAAGTTACTCTGGTCCTAAATGAGGCTTGAAGTTACTCTGGTCCCAAAGAGCTTACGGTAAGCTCGGTCGTCACACACAAAGTTATTCCGGTCGGAACCACGTGATTGGTTATCCCGGTTGGAACATACCATGGTTAGCACTGGGAGAAACCGACGTGAGAGCAATGAATGGAAGAGCCGAGCTAAAGTTATCTCGGTCTAGTCTGCGGCTTTAGCATGGTCATGTTAGCTCGGTCGTATTGACATCCAACCGTGGTAAACCGTCTCACTTGGTTTAAGTAGTGAGGGGGGTGTTGAAGGATAAGCATTATCTTTCAGGAATGTGATTCCTAGGAGGACTCTACATGGAAGAGTAAGAGTCCTACTTGAATTGTGCCACGCGGAACATATAAAAGCTCATAACATCACCTATGGAGAGGTAACACACAACTTTGATTTCTGAATACACAGAGCTTTTGTCTACTTGTCTATTTTGCTGACTTAGGCATCGGAGAGGTTTCCGGCACACACCCGCCGGCTAGCTCACGTTTGTGTTTTCAGGGAGTAAAGCGACGACGGACGGAGAAACGCAAACTTGATCAACAGGATCATACGAGGGAATATTTTGTGCTCGTACATACGGGGATTGAGGGGAGAAAAAGATTATCCAGTACTTTTGCAATGCGCTTAAACTTTTGGGAAAAAAGTTTTACTGCTCGAGCAGTGAAAGTTGCCCCCGAGCGATCTGCCTATATGTTTCACACCACCTTTACTCACACCGTTCGAGCAGTGAAGTGTGCACTTGAGCGATCTTCGGAATCCAATTTACTATAAAGTGCGTTGTTTGTTCAATTTAAGGTTTGACCCGTCCCGATTTTTAGAGAGGCAGAGAAAACAAAGTGTTTTACATTAGAAGGTGCTTTATGAGTGTTTCTTTCATGATTTAAGAGTGATCAATAGATCCATAAACTTTATATTAACATCATCAAGGGGTTTGTTTGTTTTCTTTTATTCACAAAAGAGTGAGTTGTTCTTCGGTGGATTCAGGGAAATTTGGGCTTGAAGCTTTGGTGGATTCTGAAGCAGCTCATTGTCGTGTATTCGACATCGGCGTTGTGGATTAAACGTTTGAGCAAGACAATTCCAATGTGACGACTGTGGTAGAAGAGACACATTGCAGTCGGTTTAATTCGGGTATCGATTTGCTAGGTAATTAAAGGTACATTTGTGTAATTTCTTTTTGTCTTTTTAGTGGATTATTATGTGGTTTTTGTCTGTGATTTTGTTATCACAATTAGAGGCGCTTTAATTGTGATTTTTAACGTTAAATCGTTGGGTAGATTTGTTTTGATTGTTTGATTGAGATTAGTATTTATTGTTTTAAATTAAAATATAATCACAAATTGATATCTTAGGGATTTAAAGATTTTTCACAATATGAATTGGGTGACATCTCTGTTGGGCCACTCCATTTGTCACCAATCCATGGCCCGGTTCTCCATAACTGGGTCGGACCCTTGTGCAAGAATGATTGGAGTAACCCACTAGGGTCCATCCGATAGAAATATTCCCCGGTACTCGGGTCATCACATGACTTCCAAGATGTCAAGAAATGGTACAAACCCGTCCTCCAATCCAGCCCAAGTTTTATGCTTGGTAGTATAGTATTGGTAGGATAATCAAAACTTTGCCACACAACAACACTACTACTTTCATTAATATCACCACTTTGGAACGACACCTCTAAATTACCCAAATCCAAGAGCCGTGCTGAATAAGAACTGTTTGTTGCAGCTTCTACTGAAACATTTGTATGTCAAAGTGTTGTTGTAACATTTTGGGTACTGGCGTCGTAGATGACAAGGTTTCCATCTTGGTTGATGGATATTGCTTTGGACTTACCATTGATTGGGTTGTCTTGATTGGCAACCCAAACTACGATTTGTTCATAAATCTTATAGTACCATATTCCAACATACAATGATCCATTTCCAAGACTCAAAAACCCAACTGTGCAGGTTCGTCTCAGCATTGGAGACTAAAAGATCACCGTCTTTGATGGGTTGGGTTGGAGTTATGGTGTCTGTGGAATTACAAAGTCCAAAGGAAAGAAACAGAGGCAAGAAAGTGTTGAAAACTCTTTTTTTAGGACTTATCATTTTGGATTGCAATTTTCTTCTAATTGAGTAATTTATTCTATTGTTATTGTGTTTACATGAGATAAGATAGTCAATGGAAATTGATTGAGGAACATGGGGGTAACTACACCCTAGTGGAATGCAGAAAAAAAAAAATACAAATCCATAAAAAATAGAATAATATTTGAGAGTTTTAAATTGAAAATTCAGCTTGCTTGGTTCTATTTTTCCAAAAACACTTTTCAGAAAATTCTATTTTCTTATTTTTCGTGTTTTTTTGTTTTTACTGAATTTTTTTAAATATTTTAAGCAATTTTTTTACTTTTTAGACACACCTAACATAAATACACCTAAAAAGTAAAAAAATTGTAAAAAAAATCTTAGTGTTTTTATTCTGAGCTGAAAAAACTCCCTGATTGGCCCTCGAGGCCTGTGCTGACTGCGCTGGCTGGTGACTCTGTGTCTGTCTGGAACCAGACGCACTAGGTGTACCACCTAACTGTGGGTAAAACCTCTTCAGGTGCCCCGCATGCCCGCACTGATAACAAATGAGCAGCTGGCCTCTTTCCTGACTCTAGATCTGAAAACGAACCGAAGATGATGCTGCTCGCTGTCCTCCCTCTCTCTGAGGACAAGCTGGAGACTTGTGGCCCAACTGACCACACTTAAAGCAAGTAAAAACTCCCTGCCCACATCTCCCAGAACCTGAACTCGGTATTGGAAAAGTGGACCTCGACTGAGTTCCCTGAGACTGTTGATGATAGGAACCCCTCTGCCTCTTACTATCTCCTTGACTATCTTGACTCTTCCTGGAGCCCCTCATCCTTTCATTCTGTCTGCATAATAGTTTCAAGGTAGCTACAGCCTGCACAAGGCGCTCATAATCTCTAGTCATGGAACCGGCAACTCTATACATTAGCCCGGTCCTTAACCTCTTTTCAAACTCCAAACAATGGCGCTCCTCAGTCGCCACCAACTCAGGTGTAAACCTCGACAGACTAGTAAAGGTTGCCTCAAACTCAACCATTGGCGTGTTTAACTGCAATAATTTAGAGAATTGATCTCTCAACTTCTCCCTAACTGTGGGAGGTAGAAATTTATCCTGGAAAGCCTCAACAAAAGCCTCCCAAGTTCCTCCAATACGTCCACGTTCATACTTCCACCACTGACCCGCATCCCCCTTCAACTGGAAAGACGCCAATGTCACTTTCAATTGATCATCCTCGATGCCAAGCATCTCGAATGTCTTCACTAACTGTTCTAGCCACTCATCTGCCTTCAGTGGCTCCCTAGGATCACCCACAAACTTATCCGGATTCGACTAGAAGAACTCCCTCTTCAGAAAAGATGGCCTTACTTTAACTACTTGGGCCTGGACTTGATTCTCAGCTCGGAGAATGTCCATAGATTCCCTCAATGCTCCGGCCATTTAACGGGCTAAGGCGCCCAAGGCCTGATGACCAACTGGTTCAACCACATTGGCTTGACCAATTCCTTCCTCCTGTGCTGGAATGTCATTTGGTATTGGCATTTCATGCCTCATAGGTCTACCACGTCTACCACCACCACGTCCACGTCCACGTCCAGACATCCTAATAAAGGTAACAACAGGAGATTAGCACATTCACATATGTGACGACACTAACTCACTTGTGTTCTAATACAATAGACAACAGTAAATCACTCCACATAGACATGTAATCACATAAACACATACGAATTTCCTTCCTAGATAATGACCGTCCCATGGCGTTGCTAGAGTTCCAATTAGAAATGGCAGTGATCAAGTACTCTTCCAATAGGACTTCCAGAAAACCATAGACTCAATCAACATCTTAGGAACCAAATCCCATACTCACATAAGCACATAAGCATGTTATCACATAAGCATACAATACATGCTAACGTCTCAATCAAACGAGACAAACCCATTGTGGTACTAACCACTTCTCACGTACCCAAAGTATTCAAACTTGGTATGCTCTGATACCAAGTTGTAATGCCCCCAAAATCATACAATAAAGATAACTCATATGCGAAATAAATATGTGAAACAAACATACTTTCATACATCAGAGTTTACTATTTAACAAACTATTAAACGCCATGTAGGCTTACATATTTCCAAGTCATTGCTTGGTTACACAAATTGAGTCTCGC